TCGTTAGAAAAAAGAATAGAAAATTTTTATAAAAAACTATCTTTTAGGAGTAATTAGCCATCTATAGATACCATTTGCTATATTACGGATTATAGATACCTTTTCTGTGGTTATAAGATGTATTTGATGTATTTAAGCTATTGTATTCATGAATACAGTAGCAAAAATAGGCGTGAATCAGGGAAGTCCAGCTAATCAGTTGTTGTATTCGAGTGTATTCGACTGTATTCATCGCGTGAAACATGGGATTACAGCTGGACATATTACTGTATTCGACTGTACTCGACTGTATGCACGGCGTGAAACAAGGGATTACACTATTTTTAAACGGAAAGTGTATCAATTAACATAATTGACTCCTAATATAACTCAACAAACTCAATTATAACACACAAAATTTGTATTTCCGGTTATAAAAAAGATTCTCAACTGAAAAATACCCCAAAAACATAGCAATCTTCAGAGAAATTATATAGTACATCTGAATACATAAATTATATTAATTAAAAAAACATACGAATACATTCATGGCATATAGCGAGACAGTGAATACAATGAAATACATAAAATACAACGGGATACATTGAAAAATAATGAAAAAAAAAGACAGTGAATACAATGAAATACACGGAATACAGCGAGATACATTGAATTATAATGGAAAAAAGACAATGAAATACATGAAAATACAGCGTGATACGTTGAAAAATACATTGAAATATATTAAAAGAAAATCAAGTTGCTCAGCCCTAAACTCCGTCGTCTTTGCTCAAGAACAAACCCTAATTTCCGCCTTATAGCCAAAGAGTCCTTCCATCTTCATAGATCTTGCAGAATGCTAATTGAACCGAAACTTACAGAATATTAAATCGAAACTTAATTGGTTTCTTGTCTAGTTATCTGCATGGAATGAAATCCATGCGTCAATGAAAGAATAAATATGTGATGAAGTCAAGCATTATAAACTTGGTGAGATTGGGTCTTCAGCGACGGAATACAGCGAGGTAATCACCAACGATTTCGTGGATTTGCTTCGGCATGATTGGGTCTTCGGGTTAGGGTTTGTTGCTGTTGTGCTGCTGGTCGCTGGATTTTTCAGTTAAGACCGTTAGAAGGAGAAGGAGAGCGGAAATTTTAATGGGATGGGGGAAGAGAATGGGATGTATCAAAGTAGAGAGAGAAAGAAAATAGTGTAACTGAATAGCGTATTTAGTGGCTTAGGGCTAGGAGGTAACCAATGTCACACCTCGTTTTTCTACACCCGTAAGGGTATGAGGGAGTTTTTTCCAATTTAAAGTGATAAAAAACGGGATTATTTTGTTAAATTCAGAGTCGCCACTTGGGATAATTTATGGTGTCCCAAGTCACCGATTTAAATTCCGAATCGAGGAAAAGATTGACTCTGTATTACAGTCCGCGAACACAAAAATTCGGGTAAGGAATTTTGTTAACCCGGGAAAAGGTGTTAGGCATTCCCGAGTTTCATGGTTCTAGCACGGTCGCTCAACTGTTATTATTGGCCTATTTATCTGATTTTAAAACACTTTTAAACCTATGTGCATTTTAACTTTAAAACCGCTTTTAATTATTTTAAGAAAGATTTCAACGTCATCTAAAATACGTCTTTGGACCGCGCCACATGAAATGCACCCGCAGTCCGAGACACATTTTATTTAACGTTGTTAAGATTTTGATTTGGGTCACATGAAATGCACACCCGAGTTAGGAAGATAATTTTAAATTACGCGCCTAAAGCAACTACGCAATTTCAACTTTGCGAGGGCAATGGAAATTCAACTAAATGGCACACCTCGATTTTTAAGGATTAAAATATTAATTAAGCGAGGGCCATGCATTTTGAGGTTTTGTTCAGCACGGCACACCTCGATTTATTCTAATCAAAAGGTTTCTAAATTAGCTCATGAGGGCCATAAACTATGTCTTTTGGCTAATATGGCACACCTCAACCCATTTTAAAGAGTCCAATTAATTAAGGGAAAGCCTAAAAGGGTTCAGATTACCTCCTATGCTAAAGTTCCAATTTAATTCATTAGACAGTGGGCTAACAGTAAGCCAAAGAACGCCAGCTTCGCAACAGTCCAAACTGGGCCCAAAAGAGAGCTCAAGCTCAAGAATTGACCAGCTTCAGCAAACATTGAGACTCAAGTTCGAGTCCCCACACGGCACAAAGTCAAGGCATTCGAATTCGAATTTACAAATCATATTGCTTTAAGAAAATCAAAACAAGTACTGATTGTCCTTTAAACAAGTACTAGAACATATCTATCGTCACTTTCCTTTTATGCAGAAGATATAATCTAAACATCAACTCATTCTTGTTATCCAGCATCTAATACCATCACAATTTTAACCAACAGCATGCATAACCTCAAAGTGACAGAAAATGGTAGACATCTACTATTCTATATTACTAACAGGAGGTCATATTTCAGCCTTTATTGGGCAAAGCTAAAAACCAGAAATCTACACCAAACGAACCACTGATTTCAGCTGAACTAGCACAGATGTAACACCTACAACTTGACTGAAAATATTTCGATTCTAACTCATGTAAACCAAAGAAGCTAAACTCATAACTAATACAAACTAGATTCAAAAGGTAAAGATAGAGATGAACAAACAGGGCAAAGAAATCCAATAATGACTATAGAGTTTGATAAAAAACGTAAGAGAACAACCCTTAATAAACTAACATGTTCCAGATTTCCATTACATCCTATTCATTGATAGATTTCGATTACATCCTATTTTCATTGATAGATATACTAATCAGAATCTTTCAAAAACTAAGTGTTACATGCCGTGCATAAAATTGAAAGAAGGAGAAATGAAGCTCAATAACAAATAGCATCAGATTTCATCAACTTTTCCAGATCCACACTCCAAATTACACTCAAGTGATATCCATAGTGCTGAAAAATACCTGGAAATGAAAGGGGAAACAAGAGAAGTGCAGAAATTAGTAGGCAATAAGCAGCAGGAGAGCAGAACCCAACAACAGGAAATAACCAGCAAAAATCAACTTCAAAACCAAAAGATGCCACAGCACGACAAAACCCTAATTTACAATACAAACAATAACAGACAACAGACAAAACTTCACGACCCTAAAACTTTAAAGACTACCAAAACTCAACTACCTAATTCCGAACCCAAATACGACAGGACCTTGTCATTTTTTCCCCAGTAATTTTAACTAAGCGATGACGATCAGGACACTAAAACCAGCAAAAATTTAGTAGTTTTCGACCAGAAAAGTGCAGAGAAATCAGAGTGCAGCCGTTTCAGTTTTCTGGAGTTTTTAGTCTCTAATTTCTGACTTTAGTCTCAAGTAATGATGCCTTTATAGGCAAGCCAGCCTAAAAGGATAAGTTTTTGCACTTTGCACCTTTTGGAATTTTGGTTTTAGCTTAGGTACCATTAGTGTAAAATTCAGAACTTCAGTTTAGTCCCCACCCCAGCTTCCTAGAAGCTTCCTCAATCAGTTATTCAGATATTCCTCTACCTAGAGTTCCTAAATTACCCTTACAACCCCTGAAAATTACCCCTCCAGCCCAAATATGGGTCAAAATGACCCGACTCAATTTGGTATGAGTCTGTAACCCAAGTTGAATTCCCTCTTGGGCTCTCTGACTCAAATTCAAGTCATAAGCCCTGAATTTAAATGAGTCCAACATAGGGTTTCAAAAGGGGAACCCAAAATTTCTTTTTACTTATTGGAAAACCAGAACAAGATGAAATAAAACCAAAAAGCACCAAACACTTTAATTAAATTACAGCATGCAAGCAGAAAAGCAAAAATGAAAACAATTGAGACAGAGGAGGAGACGAGGCGAGAAAATGAAGATTGGAACCTTAGACTAATCAACAAGAAAAGGAAAGATTTGAACTTTCTCAACTTCTGCTTGACGGGAGGGAATGCCGGGTCAGTGGGCAATTTGTGAACCACCAAGTCAGTGCTTAGACCCGGCATGTCGTCATATGACCATGCAAAAATATCTTTGTATTCAAACAATGCTTTAATTATCTCTTCCCTAATTTTCGGTTCAAGATGGACACTTATCTTAGTTTCTCTAACATTATCTGGGTCCCCTAAATTGATTGCTTCTGTATCGTTCAGGTTAGGCTTGGGTTTTTCTTCAAAATGGCTTAATTCTTTACTAATCTCTTCAAAGGCCTCATCCTCATCATATTCTGATTCATCATCACACTCTATTTCTTGAATTGTTATTTCAGAATTAGATTGGCTTTTAAGACTGGGCCGAAGATTCCTCATGCATGTCATGTCATTGAAACCAGCATAAAAAGAACTATGCAAGGAAGGAAAGAAAAAACAAAAATAAAACTATCAGGAATGATGGAAAAGGGAAATTGCATTTCATTGAAATCAAAAGATAACAAGGTTTATACATCCAAACGGACGGAACATAGAATCTGAATTACAACCCTAGAATAATCCAGATAAACTGAAAGAAAATCAAAGCAAACTACCAAAACTCCTTTCGGGTAGGGAGAGGAGTAGCTTCCCAATTGTTAAGCTTTGCACTCGGCCCGACAAATTGCACATCTGCTTTGCTAGAACCTTCTCCAACTTCCACCATGTGCACATCGTCGAACAACCTCTCAAACCTATCAATTAACTCTTCATCAACATTAACCACAGAACTGGGAACTTTTGTCACTGGGCGTTTCCTGGTACCAAGCTTGACAAAAAATCTGGAGAGACGTGGGACAGGCTTTGGAAGGACCCACGCCCTCTGTTTCAACTTTCTAGCTCTTTTCACGTCTGCGGCTGTGGGCTTGAATCCCAGACCAAATGTACCCAAGTTTTTAGGGAGAGACACCGGCTGTATGATACCTTGTAGAGATGCACCCAAACCCTTACCAGGTACAAAACCATTTCTCAGCATTTCAAAAGCTACCATTACTGACGCGTCGGTTACCTTCGGAGTTGGAACGCATTTCCCTTCTGGAATTTTCTAGACCGACACTGTGTCAAAAACCTGGTAGACCCAAGGCCCCTTGTCGTCTTCAACCTCAATGAACGAAACAATGGCATCACTGGGAGCACACAAATTATCCTCGCCGTGCACAACGATTTCCTGTCTATCCCATTCAAACTTGACCATCTGGTGCAGAGTAGACGGGACTACTTTGGCGACATGAATCCAAGGTCGACCTAACAACAGATTGTAGGAAACAGCTACGTCCAGCACCTGGAACTCCATGGTGAATTCAACTGGTCCTATTGTTAGCTCAAGCACTATATCACCGACTGAATCTTTCCCTCCACCATCAAACCCCCGAACACAGATACTGTTCTTGTGAATCCTTTCATCATCCACTTTCAACTTGTTCAGAGTAGAGAGAGGGCAAATGTTTGCACTGGAACCATTATTGACCAATACCCGGGTAACCACAGAATCTTCGCATTTCACCGTAAGATAGAGGGCTCTATTGTGCCCAGTACCCTCCACGGGCAACTCATCATCAGAAAAAGTGACTCTGTTCACCTCAAATATCTTGTTGGCTATATTTTCCAAATGGTTCACTGAGATTTTGTCGGGAACGTGAGCCTCGTTTAGGATTTTCATCAAGGCCCGACGATGATCGTCTGAGTGGATTAACATTGACAACAGTGAAATCTGAGCAGGCGTCTTTCTCAACTGCTCCACAATGGAATAGTCTTGCACCTTCATCTTTCTCAAAAACTCTTCTGCCTCTTCTTCAGTTACCGTTTTCTTCACTAGCACTGGGTTATCTTTGGAGGTTTTAGCTTTTCTTGACTCCTCGGGGGCAAAGCATCTCCCCGAACGAGTCAATCCATGGGTCTCATAGACTTCTTCTTTAACTTCTTTTCCTTTGTAAGTCATTGTCACCCGTTCATAATTCCAAGGGATAGCCTTGCTGTTGACTATCAGTAACTGGGTTACAGGCTTGATAATGACAGGATCTTTTCGGGCACCCTCTACAATTACGACAGGCTTGTTCGCCACTCCTGGCACAACCACTTTTGCCCTCTCTTGTTTCGCTGCAACATCACTTGAGGACCCCTTCTTGACTACCGCAGATGGTTCATTGTTTGTCCCGCTCAACTTGATCATTGATCTCTCACTTGTTGATTTTTTAACCGGTTTAACCTCACTGTACCGGATCATCATGACGGGGTGCGAAGGCTTTTTGGTCTCCCCTTCTTTATGCACTATCTCGATCATGTTTGTCTCTTGATGGGTTGGCAGCGGGTTCTGGTTGATGTTGGGTGCCTCCGGAGCTTGGACTTCAATCCGATTTGTATCAATGAACTCTTGGATAGCATTTTTCAAATGCCAGCATTTCTCCGTGTCATGTCCCGAAGCACCAGAACAATATTCGCAGCTTATAGAATAATCAAGATTTCTCCGGGGAGGATTTGGCAATTTTGACTCGATCGGCCTTAGCATATCCAATTGTCTTAGCCTGTGGAACAAACTAGTATAGGACTCTCCCAATGGAGTGCAGGTTTTCTTCCTCTGCAACCTCTCGTTCTTAAATGCTTGATTGGGCCGGAAATCTGGTCTATGAGGGTTTCGGTAGGCTCGTGGGGGTGGGTAGGTGTTTTGTGGGGCTGGCGCACGCCATTGTGCGTGGGCGGGGGGTTGGTTGTATGTTTGGGCGTGGTGGACAGAAAAATGAGGGTCTGGTGGTGGGTAGTAGTGTTGGGGTGGATTATACGGGGTATGGGGGTAGGTTTGGTGGTGGGGTCGAGGCTGATTATAGTGGTGAGACGAGCCCCTGGGTCCGAACCAAGCTCCTGAATCAATCGTTGCCACATCCTCTTTCTTCTTCTTTTCGATTACTTCCCCAGTTCCGCTCTGAATGGCCTGGGTAGTTGCCTTAATAGCCGAATAGCTCATGATTTTGTTTGACTTGAGCCCTTCTTCCACCATACTGCCCATCTTCACTACTTCATTGAAGGACTTGCCTATAGCTGATACCATATGGCCGTAATAACTAGGTTCTAGGGCCTGCAGAAAATAGTCCACCATTTCGCTTTCTTTCATTGGAGGGTCAACCCTTGCTACCTGTTCTCTCCACCGAAAACCTTACTCCCTGAAGCTTTCATTGTGCTTTTTCTCAATCTTTGTCAAGGACAGACGATCCGGAACAATCTCAAGATTATACTGGAAATGACAAGCGAATGCCTGGGCTAGATCATCCCATGTATACCATCTGCCGTGATCCTGCCGAGTGTACCACTCCAGCGCCGAACCACTCATACTTTGACTGAAATACGCCATTAGTAACTCATCTTTCCCGCCAGCTCCCCTTATTTTGCTACAGAAACCTCTCAAGTGCGCCACCGGGTCTCCATGCCCATCATACAAATCAAACTTGGGCATCTTAAACCCCGCCGGCAACTGAACATCTAGAAATAAACATAGATCTTTGTAAGCCACGCTTACCTGACCTCCCAACCCTTGCATATTCATGAATGACTGTTCTAGACTCTTAACCTTCCTAAACATCTCCTCTTGTTCAGGATTTTTAGATGGTTTCTCAGTTTCCACAGGGAGATCGAAGCGAGGAGTGTAAGAATAGGGTTCTGGAGCCTTGAAAGTGGGCTCCGGGGGGTAATATTGGTTATCGTGGGCTTGGAATAAGGGCTCACTAGAGTATCGGTGGAGTGTAGCGGGTGGGGGTGCCACAAAAACAGGAGTGGCTGGTGGAGGAGGGTATGGAATTGGTTTGGGTGGTGGAGCTTGTGGTGTTTGGGAGGTGGTGCTCTGGTAGTGGTGGTAAATGGGAAAGCTCGGGGATGAATCGGCCGTGGGAGGTTCCTGAGACTGAGCCAATAGAGGGCGAAGGCAGGGTTGGCGGGGTAAAGTGGTGGTAGGTGCCCTTTTGCCCATGCCTGGTACATTTCGGCCATCTGTTGTTTCAGCTTATACAACTTTTCTTTCAGATTGGCATCCGTCTCTTCCCCCTCTCTCAACGGATCGACGATACTTGCGTCCAGTTCTTGGTTNATTACTTGCCGTCCTAGTTTCGTTTGGGTTCGGCCTATGATACTAATTTTTGGTTTTCGGGACCGGGTTGTTATAGTGGGTGAGTTGCCAGAATGCCAAACAAACTAACCACCTGCCTGTACTCATTATCAAAAACAAACTTGTTAGCCATTAGAGCTTAACAGATAGGCAACCGCACATTTGGGGGATGTAATGCACCTAAGCAGTTAACCGTTTCTATTATGCATTTGATCGGTTGCTTGTGTCATCCCGGCTTTCCCTAATTTCCGTTTGCAACTTCCTCTTCTCTTTTTTTTTCACTCATGCCTTTCTTTGCTTGATTTCTTGTTGTTCTTTATTCTCTCATTTCTCTCTCTTGTTTTGCCATTACTTCCTTCCCACGTTTTCTTGTTTTCTCTCTCTTTTCTTTTCTTTTTCTCTCTTGTTTTTCTTTTTTTTCTTTTCTCTTTTTTTTCGTTCTTTTTTTCTTCTTTTAATTATGATCGAATCCTATGGAGATTGCCTATGTATCATGACCCCGCATGAATCAGACCAACCGTAGTTCTTGGGGATAAAAAAAAATAAATAATAAAAACACTTTGGGATTTTCAACCTTTCCATAAAAATAAAACGTTTTGATTACAACGACTCATCCTACCGAATTTAACCATAAAAACTAATAGACTTGAAAAGGGAAACTAACAGACTCCGACAGAAAGATGAAAACACAGACTCAAAACAGCCTAACAGACTCTAACAGAAAGATGAAAATACAGACTCGAAAACAGACTAACAGACTCCAACGAAAATCATGAATACATCAATGCCTCAACTGCTCCTGGGGCCCGTGGGACATCATTCGGTCTCGCCATGGGCCTACGCGCCAAATCCCCTTGGAGATGATAGAGATCTTCCATTATCTGGCGGAAAAAGGTCATCACAGTGGCGAAGAACATGGATCTAGTCATGTCTTCACAGTTACTGCATTTCATTGCGATGTAGTCGGCGATCCTTCTTACCCTTTCTCTTATGACGACCTTTTCTTGCAACAAACGCCCAATCTGCCGGGCCCTAGCTTTCGGAGTTTGTTCAGCTATATGATTCTGTTCTTGAAGTTGTTGTAGATCTCTTTCTAACTGTGCCATCGCTGCATAACAGTGCTCTCTTTCTGCCTTAAAGTCTTTTGCCTGCTTGATCATTTTGTTCTCAACGGTGATGACCCTTTTCTTCAACCCCACAACCTCATTGTCATATTTCTCTTTTAACTGTTTAACCAAACGCGCTCGTTCCTCCGCATTCTTGGCCAATTTTGTTCGAGCCCTTGCTAGTTCACCCTCGGCCTTATTCAAATCAAAACCATACTCACTCACCTTCTGCCTAAGGTTATCTATAAGCTTTCCATCTTTTGCACTTCTGGCGGGGTTTTTGGCTGCTATTTTCATTTCCCGAATCTGGGCTCGAAGGGCCTCATTTTCTTTGGCTAACCTTTTCTTTTCACCCTCATCCGCGGCGGCTTACAACCCATTCTCAAATTGAAGATCCTTGACTTGCTTTTCCAACTTGCTTATGGTAGCCCTATACTCATTTTCTTTGGCCAATCAATCCCATTGCACCTGCGCTCCATCGGTGAATTGTTGGACATGGGGCCTCTTTGCGGGCCGTTCGGGATCTTGATGGACTCGGGATCTTTTACCGTACCAAGCAGTGTAGCTAGGCTCCAACTCGCCTCTGGATAGATCTCGTACCTGAGTCTTGGGCTCTAAGAACTTGCACTGATGCCAAATCCGTCCCACCCTTTCTTCTGGGAAACCAGCTTTTGGTTCCAACTCAATGACCTGCCGACTCAAGTCTTCATCGTGTGGGATGGTCTGGTATCTGCCCAACTGACATAGAACTCTATGCAGGACATAAGGCTGGATACTTCGAAGGCCCATTAGTAGAAGAAAACACACCTCGGCCGACATATAGATGACTTCACCGACCGAGAGCCACCCGAATGTCCATTCAATCTTGTTTCCAGTCAAGGAGCTCAAGTGCGCATACCATGCTTCCGTACCGTCTGGGAACTCACAACCCTCCACCCGTTGTTCATGTTTTTCAATGCATTCAGGACCGGTCATGCCACAGTTCATATACCCCGAGCGGTGGCAAAGGTGTTCTTCCATCCAAAGTTGTAAAAGCATATTGCATCCTTCAAAAAACCTTCCCCCTTCTCGGCAGAGAGTCAGAACTCGGTAAATTTCTGCCAAGATCAGCGGTACGATGGTCCCATTTGCCTTTTCCATCATGAAGTCAGCTATCCCCACGAGCCCCATCTCTATGTTCCCATCTTTTCTGGGGAAAATCAAAACACCCAGGAACGCCACTATAAAAGCTAATCCTCTCCTAGCTTCTCACTTGTCTTTGTTTCCTGAGTGAGTGAGACCGGTATCTGGCGTCTCGAAGCCACGGGGATTCCCGTAACATCGGTACAGAAAGTAGAAGGTACAGAATCCTTTGGCCAAATTTCCGTCTTGAATTTCTCGACTGATGCTTAACAGGTCCAAAAATTTGTGAGGGGTCACTGTTCTCGGTGCCACCGGGTATTGATTTCTAAGATTCCCGTTAAAACCAGCGTAACCCGCTATCTCTTCAAGCGTAGGAGTTAGCTCAAAATCAGCAAAGTGGAATACATTATGTGTTGGGTCCCAGAAGGGTATCAGGGCCTCAGTTACATCCTTCCTCGGCTTAATCTTCAAGAGCCCGACAAGTCCACCCAACGCTTTTATCACAATTTTTCTGCTGACCTCTCCCAAATCATGCCACCACATATGTAGTTCCAAGGGGATCTCGCGGACTGTAAAAGGTTCATTTCGATTGTGCTCATCCTGCATATTTATTTAAGAAGATTGATTAAAAGACTGTGATTTATATTGACTCCAGAGAAAAACACTCATTTTCCAAAATTTAAAACAAGACATTCTTGTGAATACAGCCCTTTAGCACTTCAGGATAAAAAACAATTTTGGGGCTGTTTTTGTTAATCTACCAAAATTTGGAAAAGGACCCTAAGTGGATATTCTTGCGAAAACGGCCTTTCGGCGCCTTTTGGGGCATTTTTGGCTATTTGGACAAGAATGGCACCACCTAATTATTCATGACAAAGCAACGACACTTCATGCACATTTTTTTTGTTATTTTTGCAAAAGTAGTTGGACCCGATGTGGGTTGCCTACGTATCCCACATCCGGTGAGAATCAAACTTGCATAGTTCGGCTAGATTTGACGAAAACAAAAACCAACTATTTTTTTAAAAAAAAACAGACAATTTTTTCAGAATTTCGGCAGAGTTTCAGTATATTTTTGGGATACTGAATTTTTCAAAAACAAGTAATTATCTCTCTTAGCCCTCACATTGACTTTTCTTTTCCAACTCTCCTCTAGTTATTCATAAGCCGGTCAGCATGCAAATTCGAAGCAAATAAATGCACAAGTAGCAAGTAGGATGCATCAAGATGGTCTTTTCATTTTGGGTACACCTGTCCTAGACAGACCCAACCCCTGTGTTGAGTCTCCAAAGTCAAATGCACGTGATGCAAACAAACGTTCCTACTAGGGATTCGGCATGAGGCTTTGTCATACTAGGTTTAAAACCTGGGTTTATTGTTCTAGACCTGGCTTACCCGAGCGGACAGCTCGAGCCGGGGGGGGGGGGAGGCAGCGTACCGAGAATACAGAAGCTTCACCGGCTTTCCAACTTGTCTGAACCTTGTTCTAAATTTGGGATATGACTCTAACAGAAGAGAAGCTACACGAAGTGCACCCTTCTCAAATAATTTAGAAGACTCAGAGAGGGGAGGGATTCGTAACAATTTATATACAGTTCACTAATATCAAAGCGGTAAAAGCAACATTTAGCACATTAGGCCCAAACATGTGAATAAAACCAGATAATAAATAAAGCCAAATATAACAATTATTCTAAGCTCGAATTCTTGAATCCTGAACTACAAGTTTTGGGTTCTTTTCCCCAGCAGAGTCGCCAGAGCTGTCACACCTCC